CCTTTGGGTATATTACCTGAAATGGTATTCCTGGATCTTATGATAATTTTGTTTTTAATTATTTGAGGAGCCTCCATACTGTTTTCCATAGTGGCTGCACCAATTTGCAATTCCCCCAACAGTGCAGGAGGGTTCCTTTTCCTCCACATCCTCACCAGTATTTGTTAACTCTTATCTTTTTGATGATGGCCATTCTAACACGCATGAGGTAATTATCTCATTGTGGTTTTCGTTTGAATTTCCCTAAGGACTAGTGATGTTGAACATCTTTTCGTGTACCTATTGGCCTTTCATACATCTTTGGAGAAACGTCTCTTCAGGTCCTTTGCCCAGTTATTAATTGGGTTATATTTTTGTTATCAAGTTGAATGACTTCTTTATATATTTTTACAAGAACCCTTATCAGATGTTTGGTTTAAAATTTTTTTTACATTTTGTAAGTTTCACTTTATTGATGGTTGATTTTGCTGTGTAGAAGCTTTTTAATTTGATGTAGTCCCACTTGTTTATCTTTGGCTTTGTTGCCTGTGCTTTAGGTGTCATATCTAAAAATTAACAAGACCCATGTCAAGGAACTTTATTTCTAAGTTTTTTCTAGGAGTTTCATGGTTTCAGGTATTACATTTAAGTCTTTAACCAATTTCAAGTTAATTTTTGTGAGTGGTGTAAGATATAGTCATTTCATTCTTTCTTTTTTTAAAGATTTTATTTATTTATTTGACAGAGAGAGATAGAGATAGCGAGAAAGAGAGCACAAGCAGGGGGAGCTGTAGGCAGAGGGAGAGGGAGAAGCAGTCTCCCCACTGAGCAAGGAGCCCGAAGCAGAGCTTGATCCCAGGACCCCGGGATCATGACCTGAGCCGAAGGCAGACACTTAACCGACTGAGCCACCAGGCACCCCTAGTCATTTCATTCTTTGCATGTGAATATCCAATTATTCTAGCACGACTTATTGAGAGAATATGTTTTTTTCCATTGAGTGTTTTTGCTCCCTTGTCAAATATTAGTTGACTGTACATGCATAAGTTTATTTCTGGGCTCTCAAGTCTGTTCATTGTTCTGTCTGTTTTTATGCCAGTACCACACTGTTTTGATGACTGTGGTTTTATAGTACAGCTTGAAATCAGGAAGTGTGATGCCTCCTGCTTTGTTCTTCTTTCTCAGGATTGCTTTGGCTATTTGGGGTCTTTTGTGGTTTGATATAAATTTTAAATGTGCTTTTCCTACTTCTTTAAAAAATGCTATTGGAATCTTGCTAGAAATTGCATTGAATCTATAGATGGACTTCCATAGTATTAACATTTTAACAATATTAATTCTAATCCATGAACATAGGATACCTTTCCATTTTTTTGTGTCTTCTTTGATTTCTTTCATCAATGTCTTGTATTTTTCAGAGTAGAGCTCTTTCACCTCTTTAATTAAATTTACTCCTAAGTATTTTACTCTTTTTGAGGGTATTGTAAATGAAATTGATTTCTTTTTTTTTTTAGGAAATTTTTTGTTAATGTATAGAAATGCTACTGATTTTCATATTTTAATGTTGTGTCCTGCAACTTTACTGAAGTCATTGATTAGATCTAATGGTTTTTGGTTGAATCTTTAGGATTTTCTATATATAAAATCGTGTCATCTGCAAATAGAGACAATTTTTCTTCTACCTTTCCAATTTTGATACCTTTTATTTCTTTGCCTTGCCTGATTGCTCTAGCTAGGACTTCTAATATTATGTTGACAAGGAGTAATGAGAGTGGGCACCTTTATCTTGTTCCCAATTTCAGAGAGAAAGCCTTCTACCTTTGACCATTCAGTATGATGTTAGCTGTAAGCTTGTCATCTATGGTCTTTATTATGTTGAGATATGTTCCTTCTGTGCTTAATGTGTTGAATTTTTATCATGAATAGATGTTGAATTTTCTCAAATGCATTTCTGTATCTATTGAGATAATTATATGAGTATTTTCTTTCATTCCATTAATGTCTTGTATCACATTTGTTGGTTTGCATATGTTGAACCATCCTTACATTCCAGGGATAAATTCCACTTTTCTTGGTGAATGATTCTTTTTAATGTGCTGCTGTATTTGGTTTGCTACAATTTTATTGAGAATTTTTGCATCTGTATTCTTTAGGGATATTGGCCTATGGTTTTCCTTTCCATTGGTGTCCTTTCCTGGTTTTGGTGCAAGATAACGCTGGCTTCCTAAAATAAGGTTGAGAGGATTTCCTCCTCTTCTGTTTTTTTTGGAAGAGTTTGAAGATTGTTGTTGATTCTTTACATGTTTGGTAAAATTCACCAGTGAAGCAATCTGGTCCTGGGCTCTACTGTGTTAGGAGATATTTTATTATTGACTCAATCTCCTTATTAGTAAACGGTGTATTCAGATTTTGTATTTCTTCCTGACTCAGTCTCGGAAAATTATACACATTTCTCAGAATTTTTCCATTTCTTCTAGGTTGTCCAGTTTGTTGGTGAATAGTTGTTCATAGTAGCCTCTTATGATCCTATGAATTTCTCTGGTGTCAGTTACAATGTCTCCTTTTTATTTATAGTTATATTGATTTCAGTTCTTTCTTTTTTTTCCTTGTTTATTCTAGTTAAGGGTTTGTCAATTCAGTTTATCTTTCCAAAGAATCAACTTTTAGTTTGGTTAATCTTTTCAATTGTTTTTCTGTTATATATTTGATTTATTTCTGCTCTAATATTTATTCTTTTCTTTCTTCTACTAATTTTGGGCTCAGTTTCTTCTTCTTCTTCTAGTTTCTTATGGCATAAAGTTAGGTTGTTTATTTGGGATTCCTCTTGCTCCTTAATACAGGTGTTTATGGCTATGAACTTGCCTCTTAGAACTGTTTTTGCTGTATTCCACAAGCTCTGGTATATTATATTTCCACTTTCATTTGTGTCAAGAAACCTTTTTTATTTCTCCTTTAATCTCTTCTTTAATTCATTGGTTGTTCAAGAGTGTTGCTTAACTTCCATGTGTTCATGACTTCCCAGCTTTCCTCTTGTTACTGATTTCTAGTTTCATGCCATTGTGGTCAGAGAAAATACTTGGTATAATTTTAAACTTTCTAAATTTTCTAAGACTGGTTTTGTGTTCTAATATATGCTCTACTATAGAAAATGTTTTGTGTGCACTTGAGAAGAATGTATAACTACTGTTTGGATAAAATGTTTAGTTTATCTCTGTTAGGTCCATTTAGCCTACAGTGTTTTTCAAGTTCACTGTTTCCTTATTGATTCTCTGTCCAAATGATCTATCCATTGTTAAGAGAGCGATATTGAAGTCCTCACCTATTACTGTATTACTGTTTATTTCTCTTTAACTCTGTTAGTTTCTGCTTTATATATTTAATTGTTCCAGTGCTGGGCACATAAATATTTGTAATTGTTACATTTTATTGACATGTTGACCCCCCTTATCATTACATAATGACCTTCTTTATTTTTATCATTTTTAGTTTAAAGTCTATTTTGTCTGAAATAAGTACAGCTGTCCCTGCTTTTTGTTATTGTTGTTATCAATGTTGCTTGAAATATTCTTTTTTCCTTCATTTTCATTATATGTATCTTTAATACTAAAGTAAGTCTTCTGTAGATAGCATATTGTTGGATCTTGATATTTTTTAATCCATTCATCTATTCTATGTCTTTTAATTGGAAAATTTAATCTGTTTACATTTAAAGAAAGTGTTGAGGTGTCCATTGATATATGGATAAAGAAGAAGTGGCGTATATAATGGAATATTACTCAGCCATAAAAAAGAATGAAGTCTTTCCATTTGCAACAACATGGATGAAGCTAGAGAGAATAATGCTAAGTGAAATAAGTCAATCAGAGAAAGACAGATACCATATCATTTCACTCATATGTAGAATTTAAGAAACAAAACAAACAAGCAAAAGAAAAAAAAATGAGAGAGACAAACCAAGAAACAAACTCTTAACTATACAGAACAAACTGATGGTTTATAGGGGGAGGTGGGTGGGGAAATGGGTGAAATTGGTGAAGGGGATTAACAGTACATTTATCATGATGAGCACTGAGTAATGTATAGAATTGTTGAATCACTGTATCATACACCTGAAGCTAATATAACACTATATGTTAGTTATACTGGAATTTTTAAAAATTAATTTTAAAAAAGGTATATGTACCCCTATGTTCACTGCAGCATTATTTACAATAGCCAAGATATAGAAGCAACCCAGTGTCCATCAACAGATGAATAAAGAAGATGTGACATTAATATATATATAATTACTTTATATATATATATTATAAAATATAATGTATATAAAGTATATATATAAATATATATAATATGTACATATATAAATACAATATACAATATATATACATATATACAATATACAATATATACATATATAAATATATAAGATATATACATAATATATATAATATATACATATATAAATACAATATACTATATATACATATATACAATATACAATATATACAATATATATACATATATAAATATATATATAATATATATACATATATATATAAGTAACCTATGATTCTAGGGAAATTAACCAAAAAATAATTTTCAATATTATTTATTGAAGTAGAAATCTGAAAAGTTTTATTAAATATGGGCATAATAGTATTAATATCACCTAACTACTGAATAATGAAGCATTTGGAAATAAAGTAGCTATCTGTGGTTATAATAAGAGGATAATTAATTCTAAGGTTGAACAAGAAGTTAGAAGAAGTATTACTGAAACAAGTTATACTAAATATGTATCATGCTTCTTTTTGGCTTGGTCTTACATAGCATCATAAAAGGGAATTAAATATGAAGTAAGAAACAACCAAAATACAGAAATCCATGCTGATGTTAGGTCAAAAGATTTTTCAGTACTTAAAAATTAACTTAAAAGTTAATTTGGTATTGATTGTGTATGACCTCAGATTCTCAATAAATACTTGTTGATGTTCTTTTATTCTATTTGCTTCTTTCCACAGGTGGAGAGGTCCCATACACGACTCTGGCTACTCGAATGATGATGGGGGCTTGGTGGTTGTTTGCATTGATTGTCATCTCATCTTACACAGCAAATCTTGCTGCTTTCCTCACTATTACCCGCATTGAAACCTCCATCCAGTAAGTAGACAAAGATTCCAGTAGCCACAAAGCATGAGGAATGACAAGAATAGCCAAAGCTATTTAAATAAGTATGAGGTATCTGATAATAAATTTACATCCTCCTTTTGAATAAAGGCTTAGTTTTGTGACATGCAATTATCACTGTATTAGTAGAACACTTTTTATAAAATAAAATTCTGGGTGTAATTTTAATATTGCTTCCTACATTTTCCTGGAAGAAAAACACATATTCAGTATTTTAGCTTCCACAAAGTATGACAATGTTTGGGCAACATTGTAAAAAGGAAGGAAAAAGAGTCATACTAAAATATATATATATTTCAAGTTTGACAATACCAGTTTTTATCTTGAGTCTGCCCCATTATGCACTGTCTGAGTAAATAGTTGGATAGACATTAGATGATTGATAGATGACAGGTAGGGAAAGAGAGAGAAAGAGAAAGAGAGAGAGAGAGAGAAGGGGACACGGGAAGAGGGAGAGAGATAAAAGAATCTCTAAAGAGAGAAAACCACATTCTCTTTGTTTCTTCATTACATTGTAGCTAATGTCATAGCTACTGTGGTCATTATTACTGCTGCTTGTTCAGCTGCAGTGGTGGCAAGTTTTCACCAACTATGGTGCACTTACTTAAATCCTAAAAGTTACCTAAGTCAATGTCTCAGTTCATGAAAGCCACTCTCACGAGCCCCAAGTGTCCAAAGACCTATGATCTAACCCCGCCAGTTCTGCTTTTGTGGTTTCAGGCCATACGATCAGCACCACAGTACAACTTCTGCCTTATTAGAACATAATGTTCTGTATATTGTTTTCAGAAACAATTTCCTGAAAATGTTTTATTCATCCAAAAATGAGACAGTGTGAATTGTCTCAGAGTTGAAGAACATTCGTTCTCCAAAAAACTGACAATTCAAAATTATGAATAATTAAATTTGTTAAGAAATTCATTAGGGATTTAATTCATTCTCAAAGGAAAACATAAGAGTTATTCTTCCCTTTAGAAATATTTGTAAATGAAGTCCATTAATAGCCACAAAACTATTATAACACAATACTAAAAATAAAATCAAGAATTAATGATCTATAAAGAAGTAGGATATATTTTTTCAATTACCTGTGGTATACACTGAAACCCCCAAATTCAACTAATAATCATAACAGACAGTTAATTATTTCATCCAGTTATTGAAAGTAGATGAAGAAACAGAAGTTTGCAAGTTAAATTCTCAAAATCATATAGCCAATAGTGTCAGAGCTGGAAGTCTAACCTATGTCAATCTGATACCAATCCATGGTCTTACCCACTGAAATTTTTCCTCATCTAGTGATGGTTTTTACAGTTTTGTTTGTCTAATCTGCTTCCCTGGGGTTGCAGACCTCATGGTGTGTGTGTGTATCTGACTATTTAGTCATTACCAACTTAGCCAGCATTAGTTTGTATCTTGACTTTTATGCATTAGCAGTGGGAGGAGAAGCCTCTATCAAATTTTTACACCCATAAGGTTTCTCTAAAGCTAAAACCTAATAGAAAAAAGATGGTAATTTCACATGATGTTTCCCACGAGTATAGTTCCACAATCCACAATAACTGAGCCTTCATTTCTTAAAAAATTATTTCTTTCTAATGCCAGCTCACATTATTAAAAGTCAACAGTGGGTATAATCAATCTCCCTTCCTTCTAATCTTATCACTAGACTAATTTTGAAAGGGGAAAAATCAGAGCCAAAGGAGTTAAGAGAAGCCTGATTCTCTCCCCAAACTTAAAGATATCTTCTAATTTCATGCCTCAGCTGCATTGGTAACCATAATTGCTGGCAGTGTTTCTTGGAAACATTTAAAGTTCCGTTTGCAACTAATGTCAAACTTTCTTGGAAAATTCCAAGTTTAATTTTTCTTAGACAGACAAAACCCACAATACCATCCAATGTCATGCTCCTTAATCATTTCTATTCATGATTTGCTCATCACTACATGAAGCAATGCTTGTCAATACACCTTTTTCAGCTCATTTTTGCCATGTTATTGGCGTACATATACCAGCCACATGTTCATTCCCAAAATTGCTTCTCCAGACCCAGAGGGACAGAGATAGTTAGAGGGAAGTCAGTGAGAGGAAGGGGAAAAGCTGCTACTTCTGAATAGATAGTTGACAGAAACTCTTAGAGTTTGGTAAGAGAAATCCAATAGATTTATTCTTGAGGAACTGAATATATTTTACAAAATTTACCCCTTTTTCAAAATTAGATATTTATCCACATCTAACCTGCTAGTTGGCACTTGCCATTAATTAAAATTTTGAAAGTGAATTTTCCCTGAAAAGGTAATTCCCAAGTTTAATTTTATACCCCTTCAATGATAACTCTGTTCTGCTGCTTGATATGATTTCATATGACAGCTGATGATACAGTTGGGGTGGGTAATATTGAGGTAGACAGCTCAATTTCTAAAGGAAAAAATTATGCAATTTCTACAAAACTCTAATGACATTTGGACTTGTTCATTGTGATCGAATGGTAACAACAGGTAGCTAATTGCTTTAGATACCTAGCAAATGGAATGTACTTTTTTCCTACTGGTAACCAGGCTAAAATTGGCAATGGTGATATGGAGCATGTGAAGTTTTGAAGGTAATTTCAGAGGAAACACTGGGTAATAACATCATGAACATTAGTTCCATTAGTCTTTGTTGTGATGCGAATTTCAAAAACCTACTTCTTTCATATACAAGGTGAAAAGAGCTATGAAGGAAATCACAGTTGTACAGTTATAGTCATTAATAACTTTAGAATCAGATTGGTCTTTGGTGGTGAAAACTGAGGTCTTTCATTTCCTGGGGCTGTAAGTAAGCTTGGGTCTATTCAAAGAGATCCCAAACTCCCACCATATTTTTATGTTTAAAGCATTCAGTCACCATAATGTTTGAGGTTGGACTAAACAAATATTGACTTCATGTAGTCACTGAATAAACTAATTTGGGATAAATTTCTTTCCAAGTATATGCAAAAAGAGATCCATATTCTATCCTATCACTGGAGCAGACTCCTTTTTCATTAGCATACCAATAATAGGACTTTTGTATCCACATTTGCTCACATTTGGAAAAGAAAAAAAAACATTGAACAATCGTTTTTCTCAGTGCCACACAATAGACTATGAGATAGCCCTGGACTTAGAAATCTAAGTCTGTCTAGACAATGGGGAGGGTATGTGCTATGATGAGCACTGTGAATTGTGTAAGACTGTTGAATC